GACTGGTAGAATTATTGGCATCAGCCCCATTCTCTGTATCTAAAGAGGTTACGTTTATCTTATGATTTTCGTATATTTCCTCTTCGTCATCTTCCTCATTTAAGTTGACAACCAATGGTTTGCGCTTTGCTCCGGTAGCAGCAGCAGCAACAACTATTGTCTTTATATCATCCTCAGTGACTCCAACCACACGCCGGAATCGTTTAGATGAATAGGGCTTTTCATAAAGCACATTGGAGTCGGCAGTTTGAGAATCCTCTGAAGCCAATTGAAGCTGTTCCCCAGACTCATCATACCAAAAACCAGTTAACGCTCCATTAACATCCAAGTCAGAATCTTCATTGTGATGATCAAGGTCGACATAATCACTGTCGAATAGTGGATCCTCGTTTAGTGCTGTCCTTCGTCGTTTGCCTAAGCGTGAGCGAACATCCTGTTTCGACGGGGCACCTAGACGCGACCTGAGATCACGGGTGGAAGTGTTTCTTTTTCTAGATAATTCATCTGCAACTTTAGAAGACATTGTCACCAGGAATCGGGGTTCAATGATTGGTCGGCGTCGCTGAGGCAAGATTTCGCGAGAGACATTAAGACCTTTCTCACTAAAATAAAATTAAAGTTGGAGTAAAGATTAGGTTCAAGATTAAAGACGAGTTTAAATGAAGATAGGATGAGTAATTGTGCATTTACCGGTTTAGTACACTAATTTTTTCATCTGTCTTTTGATTAACCAAATTGTCACACGCTTTATTTGATTTTATATCCGAAAAGGCGCGTTTAAGAAGCATCTTACCGGATTTTAGCTGAACGTCCTCCATTCGTTGAGTCGGGCGATCCAAGTTCTATGAAACGATCTTATACACACGTAAGGCAAGAATACCTTGACCACAGCCACAGAGGGAATTGAGACCGAGCTTTCCAGCTGTTCCGATTCGGTTGCAGAAGACTTACCGACTAATGAAAAGGTGCTAACAACTTTACGCTTCTGAAAAATTATCGCTAAAAAAGCTCACTTCTGGGGATTTTTTTTCAATTGGATCATTTACTACAATAATTTCCGGAAAAGCGGAGTCTACACTATGAGGATAAAAATTAAGTACCGTTTTGAGGGGATAAAAGCTTTTTGCAAATCCCTTTTTGTAAAGGAGATCTAGACCTTGATCTAGATGAAGATGTTTTATTTTTGGGGCTGGAGTCACTATGGTGCTTTGTTTTTGGCTTTCTGGGTTCATCTGAATTGGCGGACAAGAGTTGGCGCTTGGTTTTGTCCACAATATCGTGTAGCCTTAAATGTTAAACTGGAATCTTTTATTTACCATTCAGTAAACTTTTCTGTCTCCGACCCAAGGAATAGTTGGAGGTCTCTGTTCATGTTTTCCTTTGACTTTTTGTTGGCAACCATGACCATTATGTAGTCAGGCAATTCCTCATCGACAAAAGCTCCGATTTCTTTAAGCTTGGACTTGACATGACTCTACAAAACAATAAACGAATGAATATAAGGAATACTTTAATCTTAGAGGCGACCCTGGGCTCAAGAGACATTGCGTCCTTGCTTGGTGGAGGGGTCATACAAGTGCGAACAAATATTTCAAATAGATTTTAATTAATATCGTAATAAAATATTTTCTGTGTAATAGAAATTTATATTAACTTCTTAAATCTTTTCCATAATTTTTTATGACATTAAATTTTAAAAAAAATTAGGTTACCTTCTGGTATAATAGCCTAAACACGTATTTAAATAAGAAAAAATGTTTTGTGCTTTAAATAATAATAACTGCAAGTGCCCGTTTTGATCTACCCAGTTTTGCCATCGGTTTTCTTTTATTCCTCTGCGCAATCTGGGCAATCTTATAGCTCTTTTTTTCTACAATGAGCTGTTTTCCTTCTCTTGAGGGAAGATCATTATTCAAAGGCATTTGCAGGCCACCTGATGTCTATTTGCAAAGGCCGGATCAGCGTGAGGATGTTATGTCTGAAGAACATGTTAGAGATGGCTTCAAATGCACCAAACATGTTCGTGATGAATATGATTCATGCTTGGAAGATGGTCGGTCTGTTGATTCAGATTCAATTTGGAACTTGTTTTACAATATTTTAACAAGGAAATATGAATGCTCGAATTTTATTGAGACAAGAAAAAGACAAGCCAACGATAACATGATTGTGCCCATGGATCTTTACAAAGGACAAACCAGCGAGTGGTTCAAAGAGCTGGCTGGGACAATTCCTCTATATGCTTTAAGCAGACGTGTTCCTTTGCATTTTAAATCCAAAGAAGATGTTCTAAAGGCCTTCTTAGAATACCGTGTACCTATATCTCGTGCAATGCATCATACAAATCTTATTTTTGCAAATACCTCCACTGTTGTAGAGAATACAAAAAAGAAATCCAAAGTTCAAATCGATCCTAGTGCTGAGTGGACTTCTGCCATCTGCAAGATGTTGACTCAAATTATAAGTCCGGACGATCAAGAATTGGCTGATCCCTCTTTCGAGCCTGCTTATTCAGATTGGGATTATTTGTTTTCATTTTTGCTCTATATGTATGATTCTGACATGGTCGACAGATGGGAGGTCATGCTTTGGCTAATTAAGACAGCCGAAGTCATCACTGCAAGGAATACTTTGACGTATAGTATTTCAGAGCCTAGCGTAGGCCACAACGCCTGTTCAAACGTTGATATGCTCGCCAAATTTATTCTTCCTTATCTTCTTCGTTTCGGCAAGCGATTTTCAGAAAGCGAGCTTCTCACGAGACGTCTTCTTTATTGGGCATGCTCCTTATTCAATGAACTAGTGTGTGATGAAACTCATGGTACTCCGCCCGGGCTGGATTCGCGCATTTCATTTCAGAACTTGATAGATAATTACTCTGAGCTCACCTCCTGTCCCCTTCATCGATCGGTCGTGATGTCACTTAGCAGTTTAATTATTTGCCTGGTTCTCACTTGTCCATCTGCGGCTATCTGGAATTACATCCCTAAAGAAGTACTGGCCAATTCATCTATGCCCTTCTTAAAGGGCTCTCCTTTGGATCTTATTCCTTGCTCAATAGTTGCATTACCCCTTCCACCTGGACCAGAAACGCTAGAACTAAGAAAATGTTTGGCACAGACTGAGTCTGCCTTGAACGAAAGGAGCCGCTTGGGTGAGATTGGCTGGTGCCGTCGGTCAAGTGCTGGGATAAATGATGATTGTGTAAGCTTATAATGCCAAACTATGATGTATTTATCTTTAAAAAAATCGTTTCCCGACACTCATTCGACTTTGTTATCTGATTTCCATGTCGTTGTTTGTCTTTTTATATCACATAATTTCATTTATTTCACTTTTATCTATAATTTCTCAGCTTATTTGACATAAAGCATCGATTCTGAGTTTTTGTTGGGTTTTAGACGTGCATATTCTTAGCTGTCGTTTTTGTGGACACGTGGTATGTCCGAACGCCACATATACTTTAGATGCGTTTTTACAACATTTTTATTAAACGGCAATAAAATACACATTGTTGATAAAATGCATTTTTTGTTTTATTTATTTCTATCAATCGCCTTATTTTCCTTTTTAGCTTTCAAATCTTAATCGAGTTTTGGAGTTGCTCGATGACCATGATTACAATGTGATGAAAGAGCCAAATCCGATTGAAAGTCTTTTTCAGCAGATATTCACTGCAGATCTAGTCAAACAAGATTTAGCAACTTTGATTCCTTTTTTGTGCGATTGGGCAATAAACACTTCGCGAATCGGCATACATCGCGCTCTGGTTGTTGCTAATCTTTTCGATATGCTCAGGAATAAACTAGCTCACGTATCTGAATTCCGTGAAATGATTCAAAGCAGTTTGATTTATTTTCTAGATAATGCTTCGCCTTTTTTAAATGTACCTGCTAGTAGCAACGACGCCGGATCTCTCAACTCAGTCATTACAAGTTCCTCAAGTCAAGGAGCGACCTTCTCAACTCTCAAGCCTTCTGTCACCGAGCAGGCGCCTCTAGAGTGCGAACCGTTTAAAAACCTTGTGTGCCTTTTTGCGGAACTTATCGACCGGGAAGTTTTTGATTATGATGGTTACATCCGAACATGTATTGTTCGAGGCATTTTCGAAACTGGTGTTCATCCCCTTGCACAGGCAGGAGATTCAACAACTTTACAGCCTGCTGATGCAGCTAGTTCTACCTATCTTAATGGGCCGGCTACTTCGCTTCCAAGTGCAAAAATTTCCTGTACAATCGAGCCTTCGGATAATTCTGACAGGGGTAGTAATTTTGAGAACCCTGATTCCGCACGCTCTGATGCTGGTCAAACTGTTCCTGTTAAGCAGCCATTGTTGGTCACTTCTAACGGTACCTCCTCTGGCACTCAGGGACATCGTAATTCACAGCAGCAGATAGCATCTCTCTTCAGTCGACATATATTCTACCTAATTCACTTCCCTTTGCCACCTGATGAGAGTTATACCCATGAACAAAATCAACGAGCACAGCTTCTATATGGCGTAGGTGAATCGCGTAACCGTGCCAAATGTCGTATTCGCCGGTTATCTCGAGACATTTGCAAATTGTTCACCAAGAAGGCTCATTTGATGGATGTGGTCCATGGTGAAATGGGTAAGCGACGCCGCAGTAAAGAACGAGATAGGCCTGCTGGAGGCCTTGATCCTGTAGGCCTAGCGGCTGGCGGACCTTCTGGGAGCTCGGTGGGTGCCGGAGGTCAAGCTTGTTCAACCCCTGTAGTTGGAGGACAGGGCGCTGCTAACTGTCTAAATGGCTCGTCCTCAGCCAGTGCTTCTGGTGGGGAGGAAGGTAGATCTACAGATGATCTACAGGAGGAGATTATAGCTCGTTTTCGCACACTCTCTTATCATGACATGGACTGTATCATCTCACTTTGCCAGCAGGCCTTTATTAAGATGCTTAGTGGCAACAGCGGGGCAGCTGGCCAGCCGAGTGCAGGTAATGTCGGACTGGAAGAACCGAATTGGTCCATCGCCTCTATGCCTGGCGCCAGCTCAGGCTCGCCATCTTTAGTCTCAGCTGGAGGAAGTGGCAATCTGGGACAGCAACAGCAACAGCATATATACTTGCCCGTACCGGGCAGTATATGTTTGTATTTTGATCTAATTGAACTGTCACTAAATATACCTTTTCTATTTTCGACCATTGTCGAAACCATGGAACGCCTTGGCACGTTGTTTGAGCAACGCACTAGCTATATGACGTTGTACATGTCTTTTCTCTGCTTCAGAGTTGTTGGCATATTTCGACGATATCAGGCAGTTTTAATGCTGATGAGTGAACTGCAAAAGCCAGTCTTCTACAGTTTCGTCTCCCAAGTGCGTCATGTAAAGGAGCCTACTCAATGTAATCCTTTAGAAAGGTGTATCCTCATTTACTTAAATGACCTCTATACTTCAAGTGCTCTTGTCAAAGCCAAACTAGCTGATAAATTTAATAGAGCACATCAGAAAGTCTCCGCCCTCGATCGCAATGTGGAACCGCTTGAAGGTCACGGAACCTTCAATCCTGATTATGCGACCGATTTAATCATGTCCTCCTCGGATAATTTGTCCGTTTTCCGCTCCTTCACTGAAGACCTTCGCGCCAACAGTGTTTCACGCTATTCATTTGTTTGCAAAGCCATCATCGCCGTCTGTGAGGCACGCACCAGTGAACGTCTTAATTACTTGTGTAGTCTATGCGCAGAGTTGACAACTCAGTGCAGCGACCTGACTCCAGAGTGGCTGGGCGCTCTCTACGCCGTCCTTGCACCTCGGCCTTACATCGGCGGATACCACCCATTGGCTACCAGCATTGAGCCTCGAGAGACGACATTCTACGACAATCTTTCCTGTCTAGTTGGTACCCTTCTCTCTCGTAGCTGCTTCATCATCTCAGACTTTGTCCGCTGTGTCATTTGCCCCGCTATGGCCCAGGGCATCGACTCTAGTGCTGTGCCTATCAGTGCCCAGTTGGAGCCGACGATCCGGCTAGCTTGTCATCTGCTGTACCGTCTCTTTACGGCCGAAGCCGCGGCGGCTGCGACGGCCGCCAACGCCTCTACAACTGCCACGGCCGGTTCAAGCCTCTCCGACAGCAGCATGCCGCCCGCGGCCTGCTCCAATTCCAGTTCAAACACACCCGCGACTGTGGTGGGCCTCGGCGCTTCGCCTGCAGTTGCCAGTGGCACCGCAGGCATGTCCGGCACAGTCTGTCTGTCTAATTCGTCTCCACCGCCATTCCGAATTTCAGAGCCTCTTCTATTAACTGGTGCCCTGCAAAAAATCACACCTGAACTGCTTGTCGACGTGCTTAAGATGCTCATTTTGCACAGTGACAAAGCTATGTTGCTGAACGAGGAGGTCGGTTCAATCACCTCGTCCATCGAGGCCGGGGACCATGTGGCTCCTGATAGCGTGGGCACTCCTGGAGGGGCGTCAGCTGGTGCCGTGCTAGACGTCAGTGGCACCGGTTTTGACGGCAACAACAACAATAACGACGTCAGCGAGGAAGTCGTGCTCACTCCGGCTAGCCATGGAACTGGCGTTGTCTTAGGCTTGAACGGGCTCGCAACTGGTGCGGCTGGTGATGAGGACGATGAGACTGAATTCGACCTTGATTTGGACAATGATGAAGCAGCTGGTGTTGGTGGCACTGCGGCTGGACTGTCTGACGAAGATGATCCTAATGATCTCTCCTACCCCGGAGACAGCAGCATCGTCGATCCCGACTTTATGACTTCACGACAGAGGAAGCGCCGCAGACGTGGCGGTGCTGCTGCCCCCAATGCCCACCAGTCAGGCGGGGGAAATGAAGTGTGTTCTGGCGGTCTCTTGAAAAGGCGAAAACGAAGTCGTCGTCAACCGAAACGGGGAGGAGCAGGGGGAGGATCCAGTGGGACTGTGGGCGGTTGCGGCGGTGTTGGAGGAACTGGAGGCGGCAGCTTTTCGGCCGGCTCACGTGGCAACAAGAGGTCTGCAGGTCACATGGATAGCTGCGCTTCAACGCGCCGATTACCTCTCGTCGTCCGGCGCTTTCTTGAGACAGGCTTCATAATCACTGATTTCGAGGTACTACGTGGCCTCCGTCTAAGCGAGTTGACGCATCTCACACTTCGCATCATTTGTACTACAGCTTGGGTACGTGAACGATTCGCCCAGTTGGCTCCGGAAAGATTAGTTTGCGAGAACGTTCTGATTGATAAGAACTTCTCACCGGGTCAGGCGCGTCGCCTGCTTCACATCATTTTCTGGCCACACGACACCACATGGATGGACATTGCTGCCTCCATTGATGGGCTACCGGGTGCAATGACTGCTCTACTGCGTAATCTCAACATCTGGACTTTACGATGTCTGCACATGGAATTCCGCCTTCTCTTCAAGCAAATTCAATTCTCCCAGCAGACCGAGGTCCTTGGCCAGGTAATTTTGATAATCACCTACTTACCGAGTG